ATGTATAATATTTTATAAAATATTTTTTATGCATATCTGATGTTATTGCCTTGCTTGAGGATTTTTCATATTTCAGGTTGCTCATCAATCGCTGGAAATGAAGAGCTTGCTCCTCCCCATGATCTTCAAGTCTTTTACTACCTTACTGGCCTACTATCTCACCAACCGTACAGCCTCGTGGTTAACATAACATGGCAACCCCCGTTCGACGGTATTTTATGATTGGAACGAAGTACATTCATGATTTAAACCAAACTTAATTCTTTTCAGATTCATTGTTTTTTGTGACCGGTTTTAACCTCTATGTCGTCGACATGGATGCCAACGAAAAGCACTGTTTTCAGGTAATCGTTGGCAGAGACGTATGGACCGTCGCGGATAAAGACAACCACGTGAGTCTTTGTGGGTTTATTCTGTAGTATTTCTTGTACAAGTGTCATTTTGGTTTAACTTTTACAAGATTTCCGTCGCAGGAATGTAAAACGCTTACTCAAATCTATGAAGCTACCAAAAACAGTGAATAGCATGATGTATGCAGTTTGTGTCTCTACGTGATGCATTTAAATTTTTCTAACTTTTTTTTAAATATAATTTCAGGTGATGCAGATGAGATAGCGCTAGCTAGAGAGAATAAGAAAAATGATGATCGTAGTAATTTTGAGAAATGACACTTATTATGCTCCACATTTGATTACACAAAAATTTTTTCTTGAGCTAGTAGTGCCATTTAAAAAAAAGCTTTCAAATTTTGTTTGCCGTGGTCTGACAGCATCTTCAATAGAGTCAGATACGGCCGTTTCATTTAAATGTAATTTGGTTGCTACTCTCATTCGGGGCAACGAAGAACCTACTATGAAATCAACAGAAGAATAAAAGTTGCATGGAGTACTTTTGAAAGACTGAATAATTTCTTATGTGTTAGCTACCTTTCTGCATCAAGCGGAAAGTATCCAAGCAGTATGCACCCACGGCCAACCTAGAGGTACGAAACGTTTACCCTACGCCTGCAGGTTGTTCATAGACTGCAGACTGCGCAACGTAGCATGGAAAGGTATATGTTGAAAATAGCAAGATAGGAAGACGAAAGAATTGGTGCGAACACAAACAAGAATCAGCGATGAAGAAGTTAAAGATGGGAATGAGTAAGACACGTCGCAGGAAGAACCGACCATCGTTGGACCTGAGAGACATTAGCCTCGATTCCAGGATAGAGTAAATGTTCCATAGCGCGACCTCCAGATCGATGGCAAGATGAGTTGAATAGTTCGCTGGATCAAAGATGAATGTACATCACGTGAAAACAGAAGTTTTAGCTAGGTCTTAAATAGGTCTTCATCCAGCAGTGGGTCCAAAAGGCTGATGGTGATGATTTCTAGCAGACTTTTAGTAGGCAGATGATATCATGCTGCTGAGCAACTCCACCAATGTGGCTTTTTGGCTCTTACTGAAAACTTCTGCAATACTGCGGCAGCTGTGGGATTTGAATTGCAAGTTACAACGTGAAGGTATCAAAGATTATGCGAACATTTTTTACGAACGATAGCCGAAAACACTACGAAACTGTGTTGCGGTAGATCAGGTAAACAATTTCCAGCATCTTTGGACAGTAGATGAACACGGGCAATTGGGCTGTCATCGGCAAAAGTTGGACGATGTAGCAAATATAGCAAGAAAACGAATTAGAAAATTATTTGTTTCCGTTGGTATGCTACCTTCTTTGCACTTAACCTTTTTGTCAACCTATAAAAGATGAGAGGCGAGTGACCCTGATAGAGTTCAAACCCAGTACCTCTCGTTTCTGAGTCAGACATTCTACTGACTGAGCAACCCCGGTCAAGTTGCAAAAAGGCGAGACTGTTAAATAACAATGAAGTTCACCGTCGAGAAAATACCTCTATGCATGCCACTCTGTTACAGCCAAATCTTGAAGCACTAAAACTTATTTCACGCCTTGACAACGTTTGTTACGAAGAACTGCGATGGTACTAGTCACAAATGAGCAGATGTTGAAGACCAGTAGTCTAATAAAACTGTGAATAGAGCTCAGTATGTCTCGCTTGGTTTGTGCGGCGTCTCAGCCTGTGTTGGTTCGACAAAACGATCTCAGAAAAATTTTACTTTGTTCAAAACTGTTTTTCTATGTAAACACATCTATAAGGCGTGTCCTTATGGGAAGAATATATCCTTTCCTTCTGTTGTAGTCTGAGACAATTTCAAATATTCAGGAAAAAACTTGGCTACTGGATGTTCAGGCATTGTTGGCTTTGGAGGACGAAGAATACTAGCGAAAACTGAAGTAGAAATGTCATGGTCACGCAACTGGAGAAAGTAGGCACCATGTTTAAATTCATCGTGTATATTATACCGTGGTTCTTTGTCAAAATTTTGCCTTACATGCAAAATTCGTGATGTACAGCTTAAGTGTGAAGTATTTCTTTGTACTTTGAGCACATAATCTGAAGAGATTAATGATTAATTGCCAAAAAGGAGTATACAGGGCATGCTTTTTTTATAGATCAAGTTCTGGTTTAGCGTGACGGATTTGTTCGTGTTTCGTCACCGATATTACATAGGCGTCCAAACACTACCTAAATCTTTGAACCGAAGTGTCGAAGCGGGCATCTCTAGGATTGAAACGCGGATGCCTGAACATCCAGGTAGCCAGAACTTTCATCATTAAGTTTGATGACGTTTGATGTTTAGGCATAAATCTGGAGGACGATTCGGACGTATGTTCAGAAACATCCCATCCGGACGCGCACGGCTGGGTGACCGCCTTCAATCTGGTGGACATCCAATCATGGACAAAATCGATCTTCGTTGAGTTTGTAGCGGCGCCCCTAAAATACTGCTTTTCTGAGTATGAAATCCGCCTAATGGACGTCGAATCTCGTATCGTCCGTTCTGCCGTGCTGCGTAACGGATCTGCTTATGCTGGCTGGATAGGCAACTACACCGTCAGCTATGTAAACTACACGTTCGAAAACGTCACCCCCGGCGTTTACAGCATCGGCGTAAGTTAGGCTGTCGTTCTTTAGGGTTTACAAGTGATATGAAATTGTCACTGCAGTAGTGTACTTGACATTATTACTTGACATTATGTGAGTGATGTACTATGACTTGCTCATCGTCTGTTCATTCTTGTTTCTGTCACCGATTGATTTCTTCATTTCGCGGTCTGTCCGCACTTGCTGCTGCACTTCAGCATTTTTTCATCTTGTTTGGTTAGGACTAAAGTCCTAAGAATCTCAAAAATCAGACCTTTCTTGCAGTAGGAAGTCTTTTGTTATCAGGAATGTCACCGTTGTTCCCTTGCTTCGCTATATTGAATGATACCTTTTACCAAGATCTGGACCGGAGGGATTGTTTCAGACAATTAGCCCTCCTAAGTCGACATACTCCATGACTGTACTTGATGATGCGAATCGTTTCTCATCGTCTTGGTCTTCCCTCAGATTGATCAGAGTCTATATTGTATGTTCTTTCTCTAACTTTTATAGTTTTGTATGATTTCAGCAGTTTTTTCGTTTCCAACAGCGCGATGCCTTTTCTTTTTTTAAGTATTATAATTAATTCGTATTCTCTTTCTGACTAATCTAGCATCACTTCTACTCAGATTTTTTTGTCTACCTAACTGCACACTGTTGTCAGCAAATTATAGCTGAGTTTACGGTTTGATTGCAAAACCGCCGTTTCATTT